AAAAAATACCAACTAGTAGTTTTGGGAATCCCAGAATTGGAAGAATTCGGACAGTCTTGAGGCATGAAATTTCAATTGTCAAAAAGACCTTCTTTATTGAAGAGACTGTGTATTTAGCAAAAGCATTAATTGAGGACACTAATAGCTTAGTAGCAATAATAATTAATAATAGTAAAAATAAAAATAATAAATAGTTGTAATAAAAGTATTTTATAGGCATCTCAAAGTTTATGATTTACCAGATTTAAGGGATCTCTCATATTAACTCTACACAAAATAATTTACCTCGCCATTCTCAAACGGAGGCACCTGTGAATAACTTGTTGTACATGTCACCGTAGTGTCATCCTTGAATGACTGAAGCAATGAGGAGGTTCCAAAGAAGTTTAAACATTCGCTGTTTGTCGTAGCAAAGTATTGCCAAGGTGTATATGTTTTGCCCCCATCTACAGATTTTTCCAAAGCCCAGGTTCCTGGACGAGGCGCATTTCCTGCTTTGACTATGACATAGGCTACCTGATATTCCTATAATTAAAAAAAAAAAAGACAAATAATAATTATTCACAGAAAGGACAGTTGAGGCATCACCCCTAAAAATCCAGTTGAACCACCTTAATAACCTACACCTTTAAGCAATAGACCCTTCAATGGTTCTTTTCAAGTTTTGATAAAGACTAGTTAACGCCTGAGTTGCACATGGAGGTTGGGTTCTTAGGAACCTGGGAACTGCAGCTGCCGACCCCTAACCCAGGTAGCAAGAACACCCCAAAAGCCTTCCCTACCCACAACTCAGCCACGAGCCCCGCCCGCCACACCCAGCCCAAGCATCCATCACACTGAACCAAGTTCAGTGGAGAAATAAGGACAACAATACCGTTACTACTAATAATAAAAGGTGAGGAGGGAGGGAAAAAAACACTAAAACTGAGCAATACTGAGCAAGATGCCCGAACACTACACACTGTAAAACTACAAGCACATGTAAACGCACATGCATAAATTGTATTTGTAAACTGCTGACTCAGGGGGCAGGGGAAATTGCCCCACAACAGGCCTAGTACAGCAACGCAAACCCTGGCAAAAACACCAGAGCGTAGGGTAACTGCCAGCTCGCCAAAGCATGCCGATAAAACGGTAACAAATGCAAATGCCACGCCAACGCCACACTAACGCCAAGCCAACTACTGAGCAGCTCATTGTTTAACCAAGTTAAATAAGTATACTTTTAAGTTTATTTTTTTAGAACCATGCTGGGGTTTTTCAGCCGTCCAATCAGAAGTACAGAATTTTNGCATAAATTGTATTTGTAAACTGCTGACTCAGGGGGCAGGGGAAATTGCCCCACAACAGGCCTAGTACAGCAACGCAAACCCTGGCAAAAACACCAGAGCGTAGGGTAACTGCCAGCTCGCCAAAGCATGCCGATAAAACGGTAACAAATGCAAATGCCACGCCAACGCCACACTAACGCCAAGCCAACTACTGAGCAGCTCATTGTTTAACCAAGTTAAATAAGTATACTTTTAAGTTTATTTTTTTAGAACCATGCTGGGGTTTTTCAGCCGTCCAATCAGAAGTACAGAATTTTTTTGCCCAAATATTGAATCAGAGAATTGGAGGTATCCCCATCAAAAACTTAGCTAATAACGACTTCTTCAAGTCCTAAACAGTTCTCCAAGTACATCTACAACTCCATTGAGACATCTAAATTTGTTATATAACATAATCAACAAACAAAAGCATTTATATTTTCAGGTAGTGGAGCCAATGAGATCGTTGTCAGACGCATACAAATAATTTTCTTTGCGAATACTTTCTGTAAAAAAATCTTTGTGCTCAATAAGTAGTTTTGGATCTTAGTGTTCATTGCATAACATGCTATATTTTTATTCTGATTGGACTTTGTGCATTGCTCTTAATATTAAGATAGCAACCTTTGAAAACTATCAGGTAAAAAATAAGGTTGACATGTAATGTTGATGCAAACTCCTTTTAGCACATCAAGTTAAGCTAGACCCGTAAGATGCTTATCATGATTAGTCAGGTTCCGATTTGGTCAATTTTACTTCAAAAAACTTTAATTGCCCTTTGAAGCCCTTTGTTTACAACGCCATACAAAGTTTTCTTAACACTAGAGCTATAGCCTCGCATATCAGTGATTCCATAATAGGAACTATATCTTGATCGGTTCTCAAAAAAAAAACGAGAATTGGAACAGAGTTATACACTTCGGGGTTATATATATGCTTCTGTTTACAACAAATAACCTTCAAATTTGGCACTTTCCACTAATTTTAAGGTGTTCCTTTCAGCTGTGTTGACGGATTTTCGGCAACTGATCCCAGTCAAACACTGAAAGAACCATGGAAGAGTCTATTTTATTATAGCGTAACAGAAACTGCAAAGCATGGCAAGCAATTAGCAAGGGCACTGGGATACCATGACACATGGTTACTGGTCATTTTGATACAAAGCCATTTCGACACAAGTCGTTTCGATACAAGCAGGGTTGTAAAAATAAAAATAGTAGAAGAAGCAGTCGGCTGAGTTGTCAAAGTTAGTGGCCAGTCCAGGGATATTTCATTTAAAAAATGCCATCCGTAAAGAATGCAGAGTAGCAGAGTAGGCAGCCGATACTACTAACCAAGTAGGCGGGGATTTTCACCAGCAGCTGGCTACTTTTGACAACCCTGTACAAGTTTATTCAGTCGAATTGTCAGTAGTTTCATGCTTTTGGCTTAAAGAATGAAGAATAACCACCCAAAATATTTTTCTTGTTCACACACAAACTATACTTGCAGCGATCATCGGTCGAAATGACTGGTTTCCTGACACATTCCTTGGCTCGGTGAGAAATTCCTTTAAATTATCTTACAGAAAATGCCCAAGCTTAGTAACGTACGTTGAAAACACTGTGAACCTTTAAAGACTTCGGATTGTATACTTAATTTTAATTTGTCGCGCTTTCAAATTTCAGCTTCAGAGAAAACCTACAGAGGCCGCATACCGTGTATCTTTGAATCACATTCCATAGGGCAAGATTTAAGGTTCATGCAGGTCACTTAAAAAACACATCCAAATAAACAGGCTTTTAGTAAAAATGCTATGCTAGGCTCGCTATTAAGGCTCACGGTTTAATGAGGCTGTCTTTGCCTCTTTTTGGAAAATTTTTGCGAGGTATTTGTGACCATGACCTAAGGAATGTGACCTGAAATGCAGGTTTCCTTCAAGAGATCTGCGGCAACGCTGAGAAAGAATTCATACAAATCTCGAGACCAAATTATGGATTGCGCAGTTGGCCGATCAGGTCGATGAGTTGTACAAGACAAACTGAAGCTTAACTGCAGCAAACCACAATTCTGTCACTTAAAAAGAAGACGATTGAGGATAATAGCATATTGCGATCAGCATAAAAACGGCGAACACACCGACCTGTCCCAAATCGATTGTGATGTTGACTTGTTGATACTGAAGTCCTCTGGAAAGCGGGGGTGACTGCCACCAATTTTCAGTTCCATCAATAGCGTATTCTATCGAATGATTACTTGAAGGTGTCAATGGGTCACAATAATCGCAGGATAGACCAGAGATTGCAAACTTTCCCGGCACGGTCGCCAATTTGCAGAAAAGCTCTTTCTCGCCTACGCCAACTCCACACGTTGAAGTCGCTTCGATTTTCTTGCCCTGTGCGATGTTGATGGCTGTTATTTGACCATAAGTTAACTGTGGACTAAATGTTAAGGCCAGAATCACAGGTAAAACGATGGCAAGTAGCTTTTTCATGGCCGAAATCATGGTTCGCGCTCGATCCACACGACCACGATCAAACTCGGCAAACTGACAACACAGGACCCTTTGTCTGAATTGATGGGGATCAGATTTCTTTGGGCGTAGAAGGAGGCAGTGAGAGGAATTTCCGGACTTCCCGCTATTTTACACCACGTTTTCTCTAATTCGCAATTGGTCAAACCATATGCGGTTTCGCTGAACTCTAAAATCCAGAGGCATGACGATGTAGTAATGCTCGTCAATGCTGCAAACACGAACAAACACATAAACTTAAGCTTACCGGAAAGAAATTTTCCGATCATAACGGAATTAATGTACACGTGAATCATCGCCAGATATCACAAATCCTTAATTCAGCTAGTCAAGACCAGAAGACGAAGTAGAGTGGAAAAAAAGGCCTAAAAATGTAGCAGTTAATTGACAATTCTCCACACTGAGGACAAGAGAGGAAAGTGTCTGCCTTAGGCTTCGCTCCTAGCTCGCAAGACGTGTGAAGTATGGGAAGGAGAGTCCTCGTGTGCACATTTTGTCACGCCCTAACCACAGGCCACCCACACAATCTTTTAGTATAACCGAAGAAGTTTGTATAAGGTAATAATAGCATGATTTGTAGTGATATTTGGCATAAATACCACGAGTGATATTTCAAGCTTGTTGAAATATCAGGAGTGGTTTGCCAAATATCACGTACAAATCATGCTATTATTTGTTTATGCTACTTATTTCTGCAATACCACTGTTCTAAGCCAATCAAATTGCAGAAATTCCTCAAGTAGTAGTATAATATGGTAATTGCTGTTCCTTAATAGATGTCCTTCTATTAAGAGGAACAACAAACAGCGAACTCAAAATCGCTCAAAATACCACTTCTCAGGCAAAAGGACGGCAATTGACCACTGGTTAGGGGGTGGAGGCGTATGATATTTCAGACTATGATAGTCTATATAAAGACTCTAAAGGAATCCATAAAGTCACTGATGTGTATACTGTTAAAATATATCTGATCTTGTTATGCATCGTGATAATGATACGTTCACTTTCGGTTTAGTAAGACAATCAGTATCTAGCCCGCGTGACAGTCGCTTTATGAGCCAAGCGAGGCGAACGCGGCATTTTGCGCGAATCGCGAGACGAGGGGAGGAGACAAAAATAAAGCTTTATTTTTTTCTTCTCCACTCGTCTCGTAGTCTCGTAGTTTTATTATGCAAAGCATGGCGAACGGACGTGTCTCTCTTAGCTCCGGTCTAAAAGTTTCTGAATTGAAAGACAAGCTTGCCGAACTAGGTCTTTCTACCCAAGGAAACAAAGACATACTCAGGGAACGATTACACAGCTTCTTAGACGCTGGAAGTAGCAATGAACAAGATATTCATGTTGAAAATCCACCAAATGAAACTACGATGGTCGCGGACGACACTGAAATGGACGATGAAATCGCTCCTTCTTTGCGAACCGCCTCAGACACCGACGGCTCGCTAGCTAACTCAGATGACTCTGAAGACTTCGATATACGAACCAAGCTAAATTCTAATTGCAAAGACATTGAACTTCTAAAATCTAACTTTGAACGGCTGAAACGGTCGACTGACCTTCCCGCCAATTCCAGCCAAGTCGAAGCATTGGAAAATGAAAAGGGCTTTAAAAATCCAGCTCAAGGACGTCGAAGCCGAGCGAGACTCGCTCAAACTGGCGCTAACATGTGTAGCTAAAGATCTGAATGGTCTTATCTACAACCAAGAGTCAACGGAAAAAAATCAAAAACCCCAAGAAGCAAGCGAGAAAACCTCTGCTAACGATGGCCCTTGGGAGCAAGTTGGAAAAAGGAAACAAAGAATGCAAATAAGATCAAAGCTAAGAACAAAAATAGCCCTTCACTGGAGAAGAACAAAAGTGGCCCTTCATCAAATGAAGAAACAATCATTGCAGGCGATTCAATAATCAAAGGATTGCGAAGGGACTTATTAAGTCGAGCAGCAAAACGGCCCGTAACTGTAAGAAGCTTCCCTGGTGCAACAACCGCCGATATGAAGCATTACCTACAACCGAGCTTGGAAGCAAAACCGAAGGCGATAATTCTTCACGTCGGGACGAACGATCTTAAAATTCATCATCTGGGCGAAATGTCGCGGAGAAGATTGTTGACTTGGGCAATGTTATTGCAACAAATTCACCTGACACTAAACTGACCATCTCTGCAATTACACAAAGATTCGATGAAGACTCGCTCAAGAAGAAGATAACAGATTGTAATAAAGTTTTAAGAACATTTTGTAACCAACATGGTTGGAGCTTTGTCGAGCATCCAAACATTGACGAGACGTGTTTGAACAATCACAAACTGCACCTTAACAAAAAAGGTATTGCTATTTTAGCTAGTAATTTCGTAAATAATATTGTTCGTTGACATGAT